CTGTGGCCGGAGTTGCGGTCTCGCTCCCCTAGGCGGGCTGCTGTGGGGGCTAGCTGGCCGGGGGGCGCGCCGGGAGCCCTGGCTCACCTGCAGGGGGAAGAGAAGCGCCAGAAGCAGGAGCCCCATCCGCGCTGCCAGCGCCGTCCCCATGGCCCGTCCGCTGCTGCTACCGCTGCTGCCTCGCTACCTGCAGGCAGGCGGGGTGGAGAGCTCCGGCTCTGGGCTTTATAGGGCGACAGCAGCCACCGGGCGGTGCCTTCCCCTTAGCCCTCCTCCCTGCGAGACCCGCCCCCTCTTGTTCCTGGGCCTCCTCCTCCCCTGCCCTTGCCCTGCCTCCCGCCCGTCTCTCCCCCACAGTCCCCTCCTCTTGGCTTCAAGTGTCTGCCTTGCCCTAGGGATAGGGCCAAGTCAGTGCTCACCCCGAAGAGCCATAGTAGCCCGAATTCATGGTTTCGTTAGCAGCAGGGCAGGGAAGCTGATAGATCAGTCTCACAGTAACATGACTAACCAACATCTCAGACACTTCGCCAAAGGATTAATGCCCACAAAACAGATATCAGACAAGATCACAAAGAGAAAACAGTTTCTTGCCACTTTAACCAGAAAGGACACTCTCTAAATGACTTAGCCACCTGCATTCTGCTACAAAGACCTTTTACATCTGCACTTGAAAGGGAATCCTCTGAACTGTCATTCATGTTAAAATTCGACACTTGCCAACAAGGACTTAACAAGAATTTGAACTATCTCACCCATTACCAAGACAGTTTCCCCAATTATCACCTGTAATACCATTAACTCACAAACATCCCACTCTCCCTACCTTTAATATCATCAATTCACAGACACTTACCTTCCTTCCTCCCCCCCCCCCCCCCCCCGCATCCCCCTTCTGTTCTGCAATGTGATTTGTCCTTTTCATATTTGTTCATTTTTTTAATTGTATCCTTTGGTATATATGGTTGTGACTACTTTCTTCCACTATTTGATCTGAGGAAGTGGGTCTGGCCCACGAAAGCTCATCATCTAATAAACCATCTTGTTAGTCTTTAAAGTGCTACATTGTCCTGCATTTTGCTTCAACTACCCCAGACTAACACGGCTACATTTCTATCACTATGACTGACCAAGTATTGGTTTGCCAACCACAGCGGGTTACTAACACAGTAGAAGCAGCTTGATTGGTTAATAATTTTTACCTCACACTGTCTTTTAAGAGCCCCTTGTGGCATGGGAGCACAAACCTGAGTGTCCATCTAGAGAAGCAGTTCTCAAACTTCATTGCAGTGCACCTCCTCTCCCACCCCCTTTTGAACAACAAACATTACTACCCTACCCCAAGAGGTAGACCAAAATCTGAGCCTCTGTGCCCTGGGCAAGGGGGGCAAAGCTGAAGCCTGATCCCTGAACTCCACCGCTGGGCTTCAGCCCTGGGCAGTGGGCTCAGGCTTTGGCTTCAGCCCTGGGTCCCGGCAAACCTAACACTAACCCACTTGGGGCTCTCAGGCCACAGTTTGAGAACCACTGTTCTTTAAAAAACAAACAAAACTTGTTGCTTGACAGGCAGATGCTGGACTGAGGCACCAGGAGCATGAAATCCAGCCCTCTACCTCCAGCAACCCTGCTCTGCACACATCCCAGGGCTTCTGGCCACCAGGCCAGGAATGGGGGAGGAAAGGCAAGAAAAACTGCTATTATTTCAAATCATTGCCTGTTTTGATAGGAACAACACCAGCCAAAATCTGGGTTGTTAGAACCACCTCTTGGCTTAAACCCCTCTTCCCCTGTAAGGGCTGTTCCCCACTCTGGCACTCTGAGGTTATGTCTACATTACAATGTTTTTGCACAAAACCGGCCATTTTTGTGCAAAAACTGGTGGAGCGTCAACACCTCAAGCACATTTTTGCGCCAAAAAAACTCCAACCTCCAGTAAATCCACAGGACAGAGGGCTTGTGCTGGTAAAGTTATTCCTCTCCCCATGAGGAATAACTCCTTTTTGTGCTAAAGCTCTTGCACAAAAAGGCATGTATGGATGCTCTGCAGGGGTTTCTTGTGCAAAAAGAGCCTATTGGAAAAAGCACAGGTGCTCTGATGACCATTCACAGAGTGGCCATCAGAGCTTTCTTGCACAAGAGCGTCCATGCAGTGTGGACGCTCTCTTGCACAAAAGCACGTGACTTTTGCAATGTGCTTTTGCGGTGTGGGCGCGCTTTTGCGCAAGAAGTTTTTGCGGAAGATCTCTTCCACAAAAAGCTTCTTGAACAAAAACCCTGCAGTGTAGACAAAGCCTGAGTGCAGAAGGCGGGCCCCCACCAGAGAGCTTAAAAACCTTGCCTCTATAGGCACTAGTTACCAAAACTTCCCTGAGTCACAGATTCCTTGGCTCTGAGAAATAAACAAACAAGATGCCACCATCAAGTGATTTTTTTATCCCTAAAAACCAGGGGCGAACACTTGAAACCACCCCCAGATAGAGTTGCTAGGAGTCCAGTATTCACCGGGACAGTCTGGTATTTGTGGGCTCCATCTGGTAAAAAAAAACACAGGAAATACTGAACTTGTGAAAAGTCTGGTATTTCCTGTTTCCCTCATATGGAAGGCCAGAAGGGACAATTTTCCCCTGCTGCATCTGGTGGGGGCGGGGGAATGAGGAGCGTGGCAGAGGCGTAGTGAAAGGGGGCAGAGGGGGCACTTGCCATGCTAGGGGGGCGCTGGACTGGGGTGGGAGTGGAGCACACGCTGCTCTGGTCCATTGAACCAGCAGAGACCCGGGAGCTGGCCACGTGTAGGGTTACCAGATGGCTTAAAAAAATACCGGACACACTTGATCTCAGATGGGGGAGATGACCGGGAGGGGAGCGGGGCTGGCCGGGAGGTGGGTGTGTGGGGGGGAACCGGCTGGCGGGAAGCAGGGCTGGCTGGGGCAGGGAGGGGTCAGGGCAGCTGGGCTGGCCAAGGGAGATCGGGGGGGAGAGGGGGGGGAGCCTGCATATTAGAAGAGTTCTGATAGTAACATATAAAAGAGACAAAATCAGATTGTCCTTCTTGTGCACCTTCTTGAATTGTCTTACTCTCTTCTGATGCCAAAATTTCTCTACTTAGAAATCTTCCTGCTCTGTACAGGAAGCTGGAGCTCACCTGGATAGATCCAATAGTAGCTCTCTTTGAACAGAGATCCCTCCCAGATCCCGACTATCTGAATCACAAACTTCTATATCTATTGTGGCACAGACTGTGAATAACTGCACAGTCACAAGACATTTGCACAGAGAAGTTAACATGAGAGTGCATAAGTGACAGAAATCGGGTATATATATTGGTCATACTGGCTGTCAGTTTGAGGAGAAGGCGCATGCATCCAGTTATCTGAATTGTAACTATAGGGATCAAATCTTACTCCCCTTATTTACATGCGTAGCCCCATTTACTTAAATATAATTTGGGAAAATAGGATTTGGCCTAGGAGTTGTCTAAACCCATGTTTCCAGCTCTTTTAAAAAATCCTCTCATATCTGCATTTATAAATATTTTCCACTATCAATTTTAAAATTGTATATTTTTTCTGTCTCTGTTAGTGGTGGATATATCTGACATTAGCCCTTTAATTACACTGTATTTAGATACTAATTACTGCACAGGACCCACTGTAACTCAACCACTTAGAATAGTAATTCTTAACCAGATTTTTTTATAGAAAGCATAGCTATATATTCAGTAATGGCGAGGATAATTCTTTGAAAACATACATAGAGTTTTGTTTGTCAGATTTTTACCTTTTGTGTATACCTATAGATGTAGGATACTGCCTTCTATGCTGGCTATAAGGGCCTGATTCTTCTCACATTTGCACTGGTTTACATTGGCGCAATGCTATTGGCTTCAGTGATGTTATTCCTGGTGTATACTGGAGTAAGTGAGTGGGAAATCAGATGGACATCTTGTAAAAATTTTGCATTCTATTATTACTGAGTGTCACCATATGGCATGTCATAATTTAAAAAAAAATTTTTTTTTTTTTGCTCCACAATTCTGTTGGGGGAGGGGGGGGTGTCTTTTTTTTTTTGCTTAATGACTTTGGTCTCCCCCTTTTTTTCCCTCCCTCGACAGAATTTTTTCCCTGTGTTTTTTTTTGAGGGGGGATCGGTATTTTTTGTTAAAACATCTGGCAACCCTACTCCCAGAGGTACCCTAAGCTCTTTTGCCCTAAAAGAACTTTAAAAAGAAGAGAGATAAACAAACTGTGGTCTCCAGTAGCTGATCCCCAGTCTGAGGCAAGCAGATACACACAGAGGGTATATCTACACTACCACCCTAGTTCGAACTAGGGTGGTAATGTAGTCAACCGGAGTTGCAAATGAAGCCCGGGATTTGAATTTCCTGGGCTTCATTTGCATGTTGCCGGGTGCCGCCATTTTTAAATGTCCGCTAGTTCGGACTCCGTGCCCCACGGCTACACGCGGCACGAACTAGGTAGTTCGGACTAGGCTTCCTATTTCGAACTACATGTACTCCTCGGTCCAGCAGCCCATTTGCGGAGGGGGAACCAGGCCACCGCAGACAAGAGCTGCTTCGTGGCAGCCTCCCCTGTCCCCACTCCCCCCCCCTAATCGAGGCAGTAGTGTGGGGGGGTGGCACCATGGAGATGGTGGGGGGGGGCAGGTGGCACCACGGAGATGGTGTGGGGGAGAGGGAAGATGACCAGCTTTTAGGTTGGCTCCTCTCCAACATCAGCTCAGAGGCAGCAGGGGGGAGTGAGTAGTCGAGTAGCCAGGTATGAATAGCCTAGGCTTATTGGGTAGTTGACTACTCGCTTACATCCCTACCCAGAGCCGCACAAAACTGTAATCCACCTCTCAGGTAACCCCTAGAAAAAGCTCCTTCCTGTTCCCAGTGTGAGGAAGGAGAGACAAAGAAGCCTTATGGTGAAAGAGGTTTCTTCTTGTTGTTTGCTAAAATGCAGATTGCCACTGAAGAAAGACAGAAACAATTCAAAGAACAGCAACTTGATTGGTCATTGCCAAACAACTTTCACACCTGACTAGAGGCCTCAGCTTGTCCTTTTTCTTTCAGAAACAGGTTTACCCGCTTGTCTGGTAAATACATTTCAATCATAATTTCAGTTTCTGGTCATAACTTTGCATATAATGTTGCTACATGCATTTCATCATCATATTATAGACCAGTTAGTTATTAGTTTTCAAATGATATCTCACCAGGCACATTGGCTGTGTCTACACTGG